TTCCTCACTGTATAACCTTGGCCAAGTCGCATAATTTCTCTAAGCCTAAGTATCTATGTGGGTGTAAATATTAAATATTTATAAGATGCTTAGTAGAGTACCTGACACATAAAAAGTTCTCATTACTAGCAGCACTAATACTACTTTTCTATTGGGAACACCCTATTGACTTCTAGAGTCACTGGTTCTACCACTAAACAATTACGTCACAGGCGACAGAGGCATCAAGTGGCATAAAGTTACAAGAGAAATGCTTCTTGACATTTGTCCAGCATCAGATGGCAAAGGGGATGGTGGGGCTTCCTTTACCAAGATGTTTTTGAGCTAATTAATACGTTGAAAAGGAAACTGAAAAATGAAACTGAACTTCTGTTTTAGGAAACTCAAAAATGAAACTTAAGTTTTTCTCCCTTCTGAAGCACAAGTTCATCCACATAGTATTATCTACTATCAACCCTCAGACCAGAAGTTGTTGGGGGAGGGAGGAGATACACCCAGTCCACACATGAAAGTTAACATCATCCTGTGGATAAAGTTGAACTTGTTTTCCTTAATCTGCCACACATTTCTTTTTTAGGATTTTATTTATTTGACAGAGAGACACACAGTGAGAGGGAACATAAGTAGGAGAGGGAGAAGCAGGCTTCCCGCCGAGCAGAGAGCCCAATGCGGGGCTCAATCCCAGGATGCTGGGACCATGACCCGAGCTGAAGGCAGACACCCAACAACTGAGCCACCCAGGTGCCCCTTGCCACACATTTAAGTAACTTGGCCAATGTACCCAAGCCCAGTTTTTTTTTGTTTTTTTCTTTTTAAAGATTTATTTATTTATTTGAGAGAGCGAGAATGAGAGAGAGTACATGAGAGGGGGGAGGGTCAGAGGGAGAAGCAGGCTCCTCGCTGAGCAGGGAGCCCAATGCGGGACTCGATCCCGGGACTCCAGGATCATGACCTGAGCCGAAGGCAGTTGCTTAACTAACTGAGCCACCCAGGCGCCCCCAAGCCCAGTTTTTTTCACTTTCCTCTCCTATAAAATTGACAGAGCTGACCCAACTTAGCAGAATTACTTGGGAGATTTAAAAACAGCAAAATAAGATTGTATACAATGATGTGAAGGTAAAAATGTTATGAACACACATCATAGTCAAGATGATCGTACCATTTCATGACATCAGATGCTAAATCCATTTTTGTACATTTTTTGTTTTGCACTTTGTAGAGGAAATTTTATCGTGACAACATAAAGGAACATTTGATAAAACATAAATACTGTATTACTGAAATCTACATTTTTAAGTGTTACTTTCTTATTCACTTTTCAAACTCTCAAAGTATCAGAAGTCCTCCTTCTAATAAAACTTGATGTTTTAAAGAATGAAAAACTGTCTTGTTTCTCCCATATTCTTCCAACATTCATGCAGCTCAAAAAATAAAATTCAAGTTCTTTCTCATCTGTTCCACAGCTAAACTCAGATGACATATTGCAAACTTAGGGAAAACCAAGAATCCATTTGGTTTTGTTTTAGAAAGTTCTAAGCAAACAATCATCATAGCAATAGTGATGCTTTCGGAACTGCTTTGGTGACTAGGGTTCTAGACACGTTATCACATACACATCCACTAGCCATGTATGAATGTTAAGAATATTAGACATGGCTAGTCTGATAAAGATGTGTAAAACAACACATGTAACTTTGAAGACTTAATACCAAAAATAGGGTAAATATCTCATTAAAATTTCTTTATACTGATAACACCTTAACATAATATTTAAATATTTGGGGGAACAGGTAAAAATACGGAAATTATTAAAGTACTATGATAATAAAATATATGCATTCAAGGGGCACCCGGGTGGCTCAGATGGTTAAACGTCTGCCTTCAGCTCAGGTCATGATCCCAGGGTCCTGGGATCAAGCCCTGCATCGGGCTCTCTGCTCCGCGGGAAGCCTGCTTCTCCCCCTCCCACTCCCCCTGCTTGTGTTCCCTCTCTCGCTGTGTCTCTCTCTGTCAAATAAATAAATAAAATCTTAAATATATATATATATATGCATTCAATTATTACAATAAAATGACATCACCTGGATATACTTATTTAAATAGGTGTTAAATTTTATTAAATTAGTAATAAATTTCAAAAACGGATTTCACCTGTTTCTTTTTGCTTTTTTAATGATGCTACTAGAAAATTAAAGATTACATTTTTGACTTGATTATGTTTCTATTGGGGGGTGTTGCTCTAAACCAGAGTTATTTCCAATTCAGACACCTTATCACTACCTTTGTTAAAGTGAACTGTACCCATTCATCAGCTCTCTTAGGGAAAAGAGAAGGCTATTTATTTTTCAGAGTCATTCATGCTATGGCTAAGGAATAAGTCATTCTTTACTTGACAGATGCTGTCAATCTTAGATGGGCCTGCTTATTCATACAGAACTCAATTTCCTTCCCATTAGGCAGAAAATCTTGCTCACCTCTGTGGTTAGTATAGGGATTCCTTGGCCAGGCCTCCAAGCAAGGTCTTCTGTCCTCCATGTCTGAGTTACCCGAATTCCTTCACGTTCACGTTACTTTCAGTTATCTGGAAATCTGCACAGATTGAGAGAGATCAGGGTCCTTGAAATACAGCATCTAGCAGAAAAAAATCCAAAATAGCATCAAGCCAATCCTTCTGCCTCTACATCTTAATGATCTGTTAACTAAGAGTTAAACACAGATTTAATCATGGGCACGAGTGTTCAACTCTGTGAATGCCCAAATATGACATAAAATGTTAAGTTCACAATTTAGATGATTTCAAATTTCCCCTTCTCTTTATCCTTGCACTTCACTGGGGTAGAAGGAATTATCAATTCCCATTCAAAACTACTATTTGGTTTATGCCTTTAGTCAAGTTACTTAATCAGTTGCTAGGATTCATTTTCCTCTCCCATAAAGCAGACAAATATTGTTTCCAGGACAGAAAGTAGTACATTTCTGTTAATCCAAAAACGATGTATTCACCATCCCACCCAGCATTTCTATTATACAGTATTCTATAGCTCACAGTATTCTATAGTTTGTAAATAATTAGTGAGCAGTTATCCCTTATCCTATTCTTTGGAATGCAGCCAAACTGATTAAGCCCTCTATTCTACTGAATCAAGAGAAGGAAATTACATGTTTCAATAACCAGAGGCTTAGCCTCTACAGGATGCTGTTTCCCCAGGATCAGCTAGAAATCTGTAGTTCTTTCCTTCTCCTCTTTCTTCTACCTTGAAGGTTTTTGACAGTGATCCTATAAGAGGAAGAGGAAGCCCCTTTAAGGGAACTTCTTAATACAACTCACACACATCATATGACCTGGGGCTAGGGAAAGAGTGGGTGACTCAGAGTCCTCAGCAAAGGGATTTCTGATACTGTCCCTCTCACTGAGTTTTAAAATATTCATAGTTGGAAACTGTGAATAGATTTGGCATTATATGAGGAGTAGCTTTTATCCTCATCAGAAAAAGGAGTCCTTTTCCTTCCTGCTGGGAATATTGTGGGTGCATCTCTTTCCTCATCATATCAAACCTAGCTCTCAAGTGCAGATTCAGTATTTTGGTTTTGGGTTTTTTTTTTCCTTAATTAAAAAAAAAATTCTGAGAAGAAAATGCCTTCTTTCTCTTGTTGAAAAATACTAAAATAGAAACTCAAATTTTCTGGGATGAAAGAAATGGGAAAAAACAAAAAAGAGAGCAAAGGGAGGACCAAAGAGAACAGGAAATGCCATGGAAAAAAGGCAGACTAAAGTGGGTCTCTTTGGGAGTCAAGGCCTAAAAGGGCAGGAAGAAGAAAATCAGTGATGGCCAAGCTGGTAGAGGGGTCAAATCAGAGGAGAATGGTAATTACCACAGTGAGGGGAATGGAAGAGACTGAAACGCGCAGCCAGAGGTGGGTATCAGGGGAATTCTCCAGGGTCCCTAGAGGGTAGTAGAAGGAAGAATGCAGGAATCACTGGCACCCAGGAGCCCAGGGGGTCCTGATGGAAGTATTAGGGAGTCGAGGGGGAGTCAGGGCCGTGCGGTAGCATGAAGAAGGTGCCATGGCTAGGCTGGGCCGGAATGGCAGGGGAGGTAGGGGGGCCTTCAGAAGAAGAGGGTCGGGCTGAGCTCAGTTGGGGGGGGGACTATAAGTAGGGATGGGGCGTGCAGGTGCTGAGGGTGCTTCCTAAAGCTGGGGGTGAAGAAGGCGATGGCAGGTAAGGACAGACGAAGATGAAGGGGGCGGCTGGGGCAGAAAGCGAGGGCAGAGATGGAGGTGGGGAGCAGAACTATCTGAGGGGATCAGAGGCAGAGGTGGCGATGGGGGCGCCGAAAGGGCAATGGGGCTCCGAGGGGGGCACCTGGGACTCTGAGATGGATGATGGGGAGACGGGGCGCCGAAGGGGTGGCGGGGTACTGAGGAGGCGGCGGGGATGCTAAGGCGAGTACCGGGCGCCGGGAGAAGCGGCGGCAGAGGCAGTGGCGGGCGGCGCGGGCGCCGGGGGTCGCTGCGGGCAGAAGCAGGTGCGGGGCCGGGGCGGGGGTCACTCACCCGGCTCCGGCGCGTCTTCTCGCAGCCGCAGCCTTCGCACTGGTGCTCGGGCCCAGGAAGGTCCGCGGCCCCGCCCGGCGCCGCGCACTTTCGGTTTCCTTTCCCCGCAGACACTGGGCGGGGCGAGGGGCCGGGCGGGCGGCCGGGAGGAGGAGGAGAACTGGGATGGGGGGAGGAGGAGAACTGGGGTGGGGGGAGGAGGAGGGGACCTCGGGGCTGCGAGCGAGGGGGCCGGGCCCTGTGGCACTGCCGGCGCCCCCGCCCTCAGGCTGGGCCGGGCGGGCGGCCGGGAGGAGGAGGAGAACTGGGATGGGGGGAGGAGGAGAGCTGGGGTGGGGGGAGGAGGAGGGGACCTCGGGGCTGCGAGCGAGGGGGCCGGGCCCTGTGGCACTGCCGGCGCCCCCGCCCTCAGGCTGGGCCGGGCGGGCGGCCGGGAGGAGGAGGAGAACTGGGATGGGGGGAGGAGGAGAGCTGGGGTGGGGGGAGGAGGAGGGGACCTCGGGGCTGCGAGCGAGGGGGCCGGGCCCTGTGGCACTGCCGGCGCCCCCGCCCTCAGGCTGGGCCGGGGCTGGCGGACCGGCGGGCGTCGCTTCAGCTCCCCGCGGCGGCGGGACCGGCGGGCTCGGGCGGGCGCGGCTGAGGGGAGGGGACTGCGGGGGGAGGGTTAACAGTGCCCACGGCCGTCTTAAACCTCAGCCCGCCCCGGAGGAGGGGGAACCCGGCGAGAGGCTTAGTGCGTGCGAAGCGCGACATGGCGGCGAGGCCGACGAGCCCGACGAGCCCGGGGGGACCCGCGTGTACGGCGAAGGGGGCGGGGCTAGAGCGGCCTTGACAACCATTAGATCGCCGCGGGCCGGGCGGCTCGGAGACTACATTTCCCAGAGGGCACCGCGTGCCGCGGGACGGAAGGGGAAGCGCCCCGGGCTCAGTGCGCAGGCGCAAGAGCTTCCCCTGGTTATATAAGAGAGGTCTGGAGGGCTCTTCGTCCTTTTGCGTTTTCGGCGCTCTTCTTCTCTTCTGTACCTGGTTAGTGCTTCGTCCGGTGCTGTGCGGGCCCGGGAATCCGGGTTTGCTGTTGTGAGTGGTGAGTGGAAATACTGCTGTTTTCCCTTCGAGATCTCAGTTCCTCCTTTTTCCTCTGCCGTGGCTTCCTCTGCTCTGACCCTAAATACGCCTTAAGGCGTCGCGGAGACCAATTAAAACTGGAAAGATCCGCGCCTTTGTGCGGACCTGAGTCCTTGGCTGGTGTAAATGATGACTTCTCTTTTTTCCCCATCAGATCGACAATGCTGATGTCTTTGAACACTTGCCAGTTAGTTCTGATACACCGGCCTCAAGAGGCACGGCCATGTTCTGATCCCAACCGTGAGAAGATGGCGATTGATGCCCTTTCTTTGTTGGTTTGCAGGTCAGTTCGATCAGAGGGTACAGAATGGATCTCCGAAGAGGGGGTCGCTGCTGGGCCTCCAGGAGAACCCCCTGTAGACTTGTCCAGCCTTCCGTCTCCTGATCTCTGGCGTAAGCATTTGTATTCTGGCCTATTGTAGGAAACGCGTGCTCTGGGAACCTCTTCGTGTGCTAGGCAAACTTGGGGGGGGGGAAATGAAGATTTAACCGTAGCCAATTTTACTTATAAGTGCGCTGAACACTCGTTTTATCACAGTTCTAAAAATATGTATGTGTTAGACTTCGGTGAAGAAACAGGTTTAGGAAAAGTAATTCCCCAAAGTGGAAAAATCTCTTAAAAGTGAATAGATGTTAATTCTTGAATGTCTCTTGAATGCTTCTGAAAGTACATTTTTGGATCCCATTTCTTCGCATATGAGGTGTTTTTTTGTTAAGTCGTTTTCTTGAGCATACTTAAATTTCCAAGTGGAGGCTGGCAGCACAGGTGGGTGGTTGAAAGAATTTACTAGAGGCAGAACAAGAGGAGATGTTTGTTGGATACACCGCAAGGGAGCTGCAAGCAGGAAAGCAAAAACTGCCAGGAGGGCAGTGGTGGGGGGCTATAGTGAACAGAGAAGGTGAGGAGGTATGGGAACAAATGGAGTTTTCCTTTTTTGGTACCTGTGCCCAGTTTTAAGTAGCCCATTGGTCCTCTAGGGCTTACAGATATTTTGAGGTGGTCGCCTAAAGGGCTTGTGTTCAGCCGGATGGTCACTATGGGCCCTGTTAACCTTATCCAGGTTTCCATTGCTCAAACCTTTTTCCTGAAAGTGGCCTCTACAAGTGAGGACATTATTTTGATTTTATTTTTTTAAGTACTCTCTACACCCAATGTGGGGCTCAAACTCACAACCTAGAGAACAAGAGTCACATGCTCTACCGACCCAGCCATCCAGGCACCTCACGTGAGAATTTTTTTCTAAGGGAAAGCTAAGTTTGTGTTTTTGGTTGACCTAGCCACTCAGAACTAATTCTCAACTGTGTAGCATTTTAATTTGCTTGAGTCCTTAAGGGCAGGACTTACTGGGGGACAGATTTGTCGTACAACATGCTGTGCCAGTGTTCCTGTAAGTCAGGTTTTTAGTGATGGCATTTTGCATTAAAATGTAACATCCTGACACTTGGTCAAAACCCTGTGGTCACTTCTAACCTCCGCCAGAGCCAACCAGTTTCCCACAACTCTTGAGAGCCACATTGGCCTCTCAAATACAAGCTCAGAAGGCAGAGGTGTTTATTTTAGCTGTTATTGCCAACAACAGGATACAGATCTCAAATATTTGGTTGCAGGTACAGAAGCAGACCAACCAAATCTTACTCCTTGTTAGGGCTTTTTCTAAGAATGAGAGCTTCCTACTGGCATATATGATGACTGAACTTTTTTCCCCAACAGATCGACCATGTTGATCTAACTTTTTTAAGCCAGTTTTTGTCTGATATGCCAGTTTGAGCGCTCCGTTGTCCCCCGCTCCCTTGGGCATCTAGCTGATGGGAGCTCATGTTTGTTTTTTCATCTCAGAGTTGCTGTGGGCAGAAAGCGGACTTCGAGTGGACCAGGAATGAGATGTTGGTAAGTGATATCCACATGGCTGAATAGACAGAAGATCTGGAAAATGGGAGAGATAATAACTCCTTTTTTTAAGTTAATTTAAGTAATCCCTACATCCAGCATGGGGCTCGAACTCTTACCCCAATATCAAGAGTCGCATGCTCTTCTGAGCCAGCCAGGCATCCCTACTTTTATTTTAAATATGGGACTGTCTGTCCTCCTTGTGTTCTGCTCTAACTCAAATTTGGCCATTGCAATTGATGACATAACTTTTTTCCCCATCAGATCGACCATGTTGATCTAACTGAACTATTAGCCAGTGTTTTGTCTGATGCATCGGCCCCACCCTGTTTCTGCTTAACCACTAACAAACTACCTTTTGTATGGGTTTTTTTTAAGTGGTGTTTGTTTTCTTCCCCCAGGAATCAGGTCACTTATCTTGGTTTTACCTGCTAACTTCCTGCAGGATGGGAGCCCTGTGAGCCACAGGGCAGTAAATAGATGCAGCCTGATGTGCTTGGTTCAGTCTGTCCTGCAACAGGTGAGGTTTCTGCAAATGGCATTATCTAAGTGTCAGCCCCCTTGTAAAGTGAATAAATATGCCCCCATAGAGGTGTTGAGTTTGCCCACTGGGGAGTAACCTGGGAACCCACTTCCCAAGTGGTAGAGTAGGACTGTTGACCTATTGGTACTACTGGGTCCTGGAGGTCTCGCACGTAGCTTTTTACATCAGAATTAAATACGGATTGCAATCTTTTTTTCTTTTTAAGGAATTTGTCAACTATGGAGCTGGAATACAAGGGTTCTTGGAAAAGATTGCCTCTGTGCTTTCCTGAGAAAGGGTGGTAGTTTGGTTGAATCAGTCTCGCAAGGGTTTTGTGTAACCTGAGAACTGTCTAGAGGCCTGTGCCCATTTTGAAGAATCTAGGATTATGGTTAAATTTAGTAAGACTTTTAACTTGTATCCTTATCTGGAGAGAGAAAATAAAATTATTTAAATGCAAATGCTCGTTTGGTTAATGGAGATAAGCATTGAACCGTGGGTACAATCAAGTCTACAAGGGTCAAACTCCAGGGCCAGAGAGCAAATGGAGGGCAGATCACATACTTGTACATTCTGCAGGCATTTCTAAACGGTTGTATACACGAAAGCACAGGTTCTGTGATTTGTGAGATTAGTGAATACAATTAGGGCTATACTTGATTTACATGTTTTTAATGTTTAAACATGGAAAATTCTAGACTGGTCTAATGATACATGGCCAAAACTGGTTTCATCCAACAGTTCACATTCTCCCCTGCCCCAATTTTAATATATGTTGTCTTAAGATTGTCTAACCTAAGAAAGATGGGACTTCACACTGGGCCATTTATATTGTGCCTTCTAAGCTAGCTCTTGGTATTGACTCTGTATGGGATCCCCCTCCCCTTGAGTGTGTTGGACCTAGTGATTCAAATAAATAGGAGACCACAAAAGAGGGCAGGTCACTGGACATTAGACTCCTCGTTTGTTTTCTTGCTAGTTCCCTTCATACCTGTTTTATTCCTTAGCTTGTGCACTTTGATGAAACAAGCTGTCAGTGGGAAGTCCATGTAGCAAGGTGGACTCCAGCTAACCATGTGCTTGGAACTGGACCCTGCCAAGGACTGCGCGTGGAAGCAGATCCTTCCCCAGTCAAATCTCTGGAATCCCTGCTGACACCTTCATGTGTTCAGGAGATCTTGAAACAGGACCCATTTGAGCTGTCCCTGGGTTACTGACCTACAGAAAACAAGATTAAATGTTTTTCAAGTCACTGAGTTTTGGGGGTAATTTACCCAGCAATAAATCCAGAGCTCCATAATCAAAAGCTCTATAGTGGTCTTGACAGGAATACCATTAACTGCATCAGTCCACTGACCTTGCTAAATCTGTCAGGGCATTCAAAACGAAGTATGATCCCTAGCCTACATTTCCAGACTTCCGTTGTGTCCCCCTTCATGCATTCAATTTAAACTTCAAAAACTAGGGGCGCCTGAATGGCTCAGTCGGTTAAGCATCTGCCTTTGGCTCAGGTTATAATCTCAGGGTCCTGAGATTGGGCCCCACATGGGGCTCCCTGCTCAGCGGGGAGTCAGCTTCTCTCTGTCCCTCTGCCCCTCCTCCCTGGTCATGCTCTCTCTCAAATAATCTTTAAAAAAAAAACAACAACTTGAGAAACTGAACTTAGACCTTCCCCACCAAGGCTGCCTCCCCACAGTCATTTCTATCCCAGGTATTGACACCTTCGGTCTAGTTGCTCAGGCAGAAAATCTTGGGAATTATCCTTCACGTTTTGCTCTCCTTCCACGTGTGAATTGTTAGCAAATTCTATTGGTTCTGCCTTCAAAATACATCTGAAATTTGCCCCTCCATTGCTACCACTTTGCTGATTAAAACCATCATCCAAGCTTTGATTACTGGTCTTGCTACTACCACTCCCCTCTATGATCTATTATGCAGCTAGAGTGATGTCGAAAACCAGAGATCATGCCACTGTCCTCAAAACCCTCCAGCATGTCCCCACCTCACTTGGAGTAAAAGCCAGAGTCTGGCCTACCCTATTTCCTTTTCCTTAATCTCTGACCTATCCCTCTTCTATCCCTCTTTCTTTCAGTCTCTTTCAGCCACCAAACTGTTCCACCATCACTTGAGGGTCACTCCTACCTCAGAATCTTTGCACATGCTGTTTCCTCTGCCTGGAGTGACCAACCCTAGACTCCAGATCTTTGCATGTTTCCCTCCCTTTTCTCAATCAGGTGTGTTTATTCAAATGTCATCTTCTCTGGGAACCTATCTAAAATAATCTTACCTTTCTGTTCCTTTACCTTGTTTTTTTTTTTCATATTACTTATCACTGCCTAAGCGATACATAGACATATACACACACACACACGCGTTGTGTATATATATATATATATAGTATATTTATTGTTGGTGCCCCCTCATTCCCCACCCCCATTAAACCAGGACTTCACGTACATAGCAACTTTCCCTTCTTTGTCTATGGCCCCTCCAACAGCAAGTGGCACAGTGCCTGGCATGTGGTGGGCCACTCAGTATTTGCTAAATGAAAGAATGAATCACACACTTGACTTGTGGCTCGACTGTGCTAAGGCACTTGACATGCACACTTCGTTACTCATCACAACAGCCCAGTGAGGAAAGAACGTGATTCTTATCCCAATTGCACAGATGAGGGAGTGAGGCTCAGGGAAGTATGGTTCCCCAGCTCTATGTGAGACAACTGAGTCACAAACCCTGACCTGTTTGACTCCAAAGCCCCTCCTTTTCCCTTCCCAATGTATTGCCTTCTGCTAGAACAAGGAGTATTTTCTATTCTCTGCATCCTCTGCAGTTTCCAGAGCTATTCCTTGCGTACAGTAGGTGCTCAATAAGGCAAAAATGACCAAATGATTCCTTGAACTATCACAAACTGGCCGCATGAAGACACAATCCATTCCATAAATATTTATTGAGTACCACCGGGTGCCAGACTCGGTTCTAGGTGCTGAGAATACAATAGTGGGGAAAAAATTACTGCCAATGTGGAAGATTAACCTGCCAGTGGAGGAAGGAACAATAAAACAATAATAGTATGTTATTTAATCGTTAATACAATGGAGAAAACTCAGTGTAGTGGGGGAAAGGAATAGAATTGGAAATGTAAAGGTGAGCAGTTGAGTACAGAGCTGAAATAGATCAAGGAGTGAGTGGTGTATCAGAGGGATAGTATATTCCCAGGCCCGTGCAAAGGCCTTGAGGCAAAAACATGCCTGCTGGATGCTGTGTTTAGAGTAGAAAGGAGGCCAGTGTGGCTTTGAGTGGAAAATTGGAAGGTCTGGCCATAGTGGACTCATTTTCCTGCCTGGTAATAATGACTGTGGCTGAGTAACATCCATCCCTTTTGGCAGGTCATGTGCTTTCCAGGTCCCACAGTGGTCTACTTCCCTCTTTTACGTACCTGCCCCTGCATTAATAATCAGAGTAACGATGGCTAGCATTTATTGAGCCCTTACTATGTGTTAATGGCAGTTTTTTATATGTAACGAAACATTGTTCCAACAACCCTGTGAGGTAGGTTGTATTATTCATCTCATTTGACAACTGAAGCTACAGTCTCAGAGAGGTAAAACAACTTGGCTAAGGTCAGCTAAGGTCAGCAGAGCTGGGAAGCGTGGCAGAGCCAGGACTCGAACCCTGTCAGCCTGGCTCTTGAGTTTGTAACCTTTGGCTTAATTGCAGCCCATCACTTATAGGCCGTCTAAGACATAGGAAGGACTCAATTTCTGGCTCTTAAACGTTTAAACGAAAAGTTCACGTGCTTTTTTTAAAAAGATTTTATTTATTTATTTGAGAGAGAGAGAGCATGAGAGGGGGGAGGGTCAGAGGGAGAAGCAGACTCCCTGGTGAGCAGGGAGCCCGATGCGGGACTCGATCCCGGGACTCCAGGATCATGACCTGAGCTGAAGGCAGTCGCTTAACCAACTGAGCCACCCAGGCGCCCCAGTTCACATGCTTTTGCTGGACTTCCTTGTCAGTGAGATACTTCTGACAGAAGTGGCTCCAGATGCCTGCCAGCCAGGGGCCAAATAAGCCCCTGGGAGAGCTCCCATCCACCTTGCTTCTTGGCTTTTCTGTCGTTGCTTCCGTGAGCACCAGGGCCCATGATAGGTCTTGGATGCCCAAACTCTGCATCCTGTCTCCCTAACTTCAGTCCCACCAAACATTTGACGCTTCAGTCTCAGTTTACTTCTTTGTCCTCCTAGCTGAGGGATCTGGCAAATAACTTCACGTCTACATGCCTCAGTTTCCTTATCTGTGAAATGGGGTTCATAACAATATCTACTTCAGAGAATTGTAAGGTTCAGTAAACTCATGTCTGCAAAGCGTTTAGCCCAAGGCCTAGCAAATAGTAGGGACACAATGCATATCCTGTGAATAAACAAATCTTCCTGTCATATTGATTTGGGAGGAGGTCTGTGTTGGGGAACTATAAGAAGAATAAATGTGTTCATTGAGTGCTTACCATGTGTAATACTCTGTTATTTATTATCTCTTTTAATCTATACCCCAACACTGCTTGTTTTCATCCCATTTTTAAAATTATTTATTTTAAAGATTTTATTTATTCGACAGAGAGAGAAAGAGGGAGAGCAAGAGAGCACAAGCAGGGGGACCTGCAGAGGGAAAGGGAGAAGCAGACTCCTTGCTGAGCAGGGAGCTCGATGCGGAGCTCAATCCCAGGACCCTGGGATCATGACCTGAGCTGAAGGCAGACACTTAACCAACTGAGCCACACAAGTGCCCCCTTACTGTCCCATTTTAAAGACAGGCAACTGAGACTCGGAGGCTTAGCAACTTACTTGAGGTCACACACCTTGGAAGTGACAGCTGGGATTTGAACTTCATCCTGGGCCCCTAATTTCTATGCTCTACTGTCTTGCAAGAGCTTTTGCTTCAGACCCTCACCAACTGCATGAATGGAATCACAAGCATTTCTGGGAAGCTGTGGAGAAAGATAAGGGATCCACAGATCATCTTCTAGAATTTGAGCTAGGAGGTGGTATTGTCTCCCCTGTACTTCACTCTTTGTTGGCTGGGAACAGAGCAATTTTATAAATGGTTCTGAGTCTGGGATTAGTCCTGGCTCCTGGCATTCAGCCAGCTCTTAGCTCCAGATCTCCCAACTATAAAATGGGTATAACATTACCTTCCTCTTGGGAATCTGTGAGAATCAAATGAGATATGTCGAAATGCTTAGTATAGCACTTGGCAGAGGTTAAGTGTTCAATTAGTTATAACCATCTTCACCAGGGCAAAAAGGGATGAACTAGTGATGCAGACAACAATTTGGATGAATCCCAAGACACATGCCAAGTGAGGGAAACCAGTCTCAAACGGTTACATACTGTGTGGCCCTATTTCTTTGACATTCTTGAAAAGGCAAAACTATAGTGATGGGGAACAGATGATCAGTGGTTGCCAGAGTTAGAGGGCAGGGGGTGGGAATATAAAGGAATAACATAAGGAAGTTGTGGGGTATCCTTATTGCGGTGATGGTTACATGAATTTATATGTATGTTAAAGTCGTGAAACTGAAATGAAAGTCAATCTTATTGTATGATAATATAAAAAATACTAACAACAAACATGGGCTCTGGAATTGGATTTCCTGGGTTTTAATCCTAGCTCTACCCTTTATTTTATTTATTTATTTTTATTTTTATTTTTTAAAGATTTTATTTATCTGACAGAGAGAGAGACAGCGAGAGAGGGAACACAAGCAGGGGGAGTGGGAGAGGGAGAAGCAGGCTTCCCGCTGAGCAGGGAGCCCGACGCGGGGCTCGATCCCAGGACCCTGGGACCATGACCCGAGCCGAAGACAGACGCCTAACAACTGAGCCACCCAGGCACCCCTACCCTTTATTAACCATGCAACTTTTTAAGCAAGTGATTCACATCTCTTTCTGCTCCAGAAACCAATATTGCACTGTATGTTAACTAAAATTTAAATTAAAAAAACAATGATTCACATCTCTGAGCCTCTGGTTCATCTGAAAAATCGGGACATTAATGGGATCCACCCTTTGGGGATATCTTGAGGAGTAAAGGAACACTTATAACTCTGCTTGGAACATGGAAAGAGCATCTCAAATGCTGATTTTTTAGTTTCTTTTAATCTTTTCCTTTTTCCTCCTAGATTTTGCCTGCCTCAGTCCTCTTGTGGCACAATTGCCAGGGAAGATGGAGCTTAGGGTCCCAAATAGGACTTGCAGCTCCAGCCTGTGTCAGCAGGGGGCCCTGGGGGCACACATTTCTCCAACTGGTGGGAGCATAGCCTCCACCCTTGGGCTGGGAAGGGAGGAGATGGCTTGGTGGCGGCGTAGCAGGTGGGTGAGCTTTTCAGCACTTCTGGGGTGACTGCAGCAGCAAAGCCTGAGAAAGGGTAAGTTCCCCAGGCCCGAAATGTGTGCTTCCACTAGACCCATGCAACAAACCAACCAGAAACAAATTTGCCCATGATCCCTTCAATCTAACACGTTAGTGATTGGATTTTCACTTTCCCACATTCCCTTATGTCCCCATGTTATCATAGTAGGGTGCCTACTACCACTATGGTTGGAACTTCCCATTTTTAAAGGAAGCCAGAAATCCTTAAACTGTTAGCAACAGATTCCAATTTTATAAACTGAAGACTTAGAAAATGCACACGTGTGGGCTTCAGATAGCCTGGAGGCTGCCAGTTTGAGACCTCTACAATTTTTTTTTTTTTTTTTGTCAGAGAGAGAGACAGAGCACAAGCATGGGGAGAGGCAGGCTCCCCCCACCGAGCAGGGAGCCCAACGCGGGACTTGATCCCAGGACCCCGGGATCAGGACCTAAGCCAAAGGCAGACGCTTAGCCGACTGAGCCACCCAGGCGTCCCAAGACCCCTGCAATTTGAGCTGTATCTTTTTTAGCACCTGTCTTACCATTCCTGAGCCAAATAAAACACATGATATCCAGTTCTATGTGAATCTCAGATAAATCACAAATAATTTTTTAGCATAAGTACATCCCTTGCAATATTCAGGACACAGTTAAAATTATTTGTTGTTTATCTGAAATTCACATTTAACTGGGTGTTGTGTATTTCTGTTTGCTAAATCTGGAAACCTCATTCCTGGGAGCATCTGGCTTCAGACAATGTCATCTGCTCTTCAAGAGGAAGCCTTGATGGACTTTGTACGTTCTGAGTAACTTCCATGGTCTCTGTCAACTTGGATTTTTTTCCTCCAAGATTATCTGGAGGGAAATTGCATTTTATGGGTTTTCCCAACAGTTTCTGAACTGGCTTCAATTCCCAGGGGTGGAATTGGCAGGCCCTGTGACCCACCCATTGGGCAGGTCCCCTGTTCAATTCCTTCCAAGGTTCATTAATTGCAGGTTTATTTAGAAGGCGACTGTCTTTTTTTTTTTTTTTAAATGTTAGTCATGGCAGAAACAGACCATCTTGGGCTTATTTATATCTGCAGCTTTTTTTTTTTTTTAAAGATTTTATTTATTTGAGAGAGAGAATGAGATAGATCATGAGGGTCAGAGGGAGAAGCAGACTCCCTGCCGAGCAGGGAGCCCGATGCAGGACTCGATCCCGGGACTCCAGGATCATGACCCGAGCCGAAGGCAGTCGCTTAACCAACTGAGCCACCCAGGCGCCCATATCTGCAGCTTTTTTAAAAAGAGAGAAAAGGAGAAATCTGGATCCTCTCACTTGGCAGGCTCATTTAAACAAATGGTCCTTTTGCTAAAACAGACTCATGCTGCAGGGCCACACAGTTTGCAGGTGGGAAGGCTTGGGTGGGGGGAGTCCTAGAAGGTGAGAGCTTTTTTCTTTCTTTTTTCTCTCTCCAGTGTTCAAGTGGCAATAGGGGCAGTCTGGAAATCTGACGTCACTTTGGCTCTGCCCAGGTTGACCTGGTGTTTTTACGGCCGGAGCGGCTATCTGTGGAGTGTGGTGGCATTCATCATAGTGCCACGTGCTAGGCTGCTGCCAGCGTTTCGCTGTCCCACCATTCGGTCAAGCCCAAGCAGACCTCTCTCTAAGCCCCATTTCTCCCTACTCGAGTTGTCCTTGTCATGATCATCATCCGTAATTGCCATTTATTGAAATGTTCTACCAGGCTCCACACTAGGTACTTGACATGTTATGATTTACTCCTTACCTCCATTCTACAAGGGAGGTAATGTTATTATTCTGACTTTACAGATGAGGAAACTGAGTAAATGGCCCTCCTCACCCTCATCTACCTTGCTCAGTGCTCCTGGAGCATGGACAGCTTGAGCCCCGTCCTGGGGGCTTCAGCAGCAGTTTGGGAGGGGGAATGGTAATTGAGGCTGAGCTAGCCATTCCTCTGGCTTCAAGCTCCTCCACCTGAGCCTCCTTCCGGGCTATGGTAGCTCCTTCTTCCCTGGCACCTTCAAGTGTAGGGGGTGCCCCATTCTATTTCCAGCACCAGCGTTCCTTGCCAACCCTTGTGGTTTCCTTATGTTCTGTGCATAAGCTTATGGCATTCTCTGATTATAGTCTGCTGGAATTGTTCTATTTCCGGTAGGCTAGGACTGGTACAGAGGCAGAGCTGGGATTTGAACCCAGGGACTCCAAAATAACCTCTTTGCAAGTGGCCTCCCAGAGCTGCGCTCAGATTGCTCCTGCCAGGCACAGTGTCTGCCTTCTGACACAGACCATGATCTGCTCTCATTTCTAGCATTTTCCCACAACAGCTGCAGGAAATGTTAAATGTATTTTCTCTGCCTGCCAGTATAATGACCCTATTAACAACACACACACACACACACACACTGATGCTCATTTTACATGACTTGTTCTTAGGAACAAGCTCCCTGTGAATACTTGCACCCCCACCCCAAGTGCTTAATTAGAATCATTTCAGGGCAAGTCATTGAGCTGAGCCAAAGAGGCAATAAGAAGGATAATTATCCCTCAGTCTCTGCCCTAAAATAGTTCATAGCCAAGTCACCAACTCCCTGATTAATTTTTCAGGCTAGAATATCATGGGGGATGAGACCAAGCTTATCTACATGTGGTTTCCAAACTCTATCCTCACATTTGGAAATAGGGACATATATACATTATGTATGTATGTGTATATATATATGAAATTAAAAACATATATATCAATCATCACCCAGAAAGCAAATAATCCAATTAAAAAATGGGCAGAAGACATGAACAGATATCTCTCCAAAGAAGACATCCAGATGGCCAACAGACACACGTAAAGATGCTCAATATCGTTCATCATCAGGGAAATGCAAATCAAAACTACGAGATATCACTTGATACCTGTCAGAATGGCTAAAATCAACAACATAAGAAACAACAGGTGTTGGCCAGGATGTGGAGAAAGGACAACCCTCGTGCACTGTTGGTAGGAATGCAAACTGGAACAGCCACTGTGGAAAACAGTATGGCGTTTCCTCAAAAAGTTAAAAATGGAACTACCCTATGATTCAGTAATCACACTACTGGGTATTTACCCCCCAAATACAAAAAACACTAAATTCAAAGGGATACATGCTCCCCTGTGTTTTATTGCAGCATTATTTACAATACCCAAATTACAGAAGCAGCCCAAGTGTCCATTGATAGATGAATGGATAAGGAAGATATGGTATATATACACAATGGAATATTACTCAGCCATAAAAAAGAATGAAATCTTGCCATTTCTGAAAACACAGGTGGAGCTAGAGAGTATAATGCTAAGCGAAATCAGTCAGAGAAAGACAGATACCATATGATTTCATTCATATGTGGAATTTAAGAAACAAAACAAATGAGCAAAGGAAAAAAAGAAACCAAGAAAGACTCAACTATAGTGAACAAACCGATGGTTCCCAAAGGGGAGGTGGGTAGGGGGATGGGTGAAATAGGTAATGGGGATTAAAGAATATACTTATTACGATGAGCACTAAGTATTGTATAGAATTGTTGAATCAGGGGCTCCGGGCTGAGTCAGTCATTAGAGCATGTAACTCTTGATTTCAGGGTTGTAGGTTCAAGCCCCACACTAGGTATAGAGATTACTCAAAAATAACAACAATAATAATAATTTAGGGCATCTGGCTGGCTCAGTCAGTAGAGTTTGTAACTCTTGATCTCACGGTTGTGAGTTCAAGCCCCGTGTTGGGCGTGGAGCCTACTTAAAGAATTGTTGAATCACTATATTGTACACATGAATCTAATATAACACTGTATGTTAACTATACTGGAATTTAAAAACTTAATAAAAATGTATATTAAAATTCTGACAGGATATATACTCAAATATATTCTTATTAAAAATAGCTTGGGGCGCCTGGGTGGCTCAGTCCTTAAGCGTCTGCCTTCGGTTCAGGTCATGATCCCAGGGTCCTGGGATCGAGCCCCACATCAGGCTTCCTGCTCAGCAGGGAGCCTGCTTTTCCCTCTCCCTCTGCCTGCCTCTCTGCCTACTTGTTCTCTCTCTCTATCTCTCTGTCAAATAAATAAATTAAATCTTTAAAAAAAATAACTTTTTATTATGGAGAATGAACTATGATAACATGCAACAACCTAGATTGATCTCAAGGACCTTATGTTTATTGACAAAAGCCAATTTCAAAAGGTTGCATATGTATGATCGTTTATATTACATTCTTGAAATGACCAAACTATAGAGGTAGAGAACAGATTAGTGGTTGTCTGGGTATAGTGACTGGGAAAAGGAGTGTAATCCTAAGTGGTTACCACAAGGGAATTCCTTTGTATCTTGTTTGTGGTGGTTACATGAATATATGAATCTATTTACTATGGAATAAAAATGCATAGAATTATATGTGTGTGTGTGCACACACAAATGTGTAAAAGACATGGTGACAACAGAATGAGGTCTGTAGTCTAGTTAAATATATTGTACCAAAGTCTATTCCCTGGTTTTTCTATTGTACTACGGTTATATAGGATGGCACTCTTGGGGGAAGTTAGATGAAGTATACATGATATCCCATTTACTAATTTGCTGCTTCCTGTGAGTCTATAATTATTTCAAAATAAAAAGTTAAAAAAAAAAAAACAACCTTTCATTATTACCAAAGCAGAATAAGTACATTGTAGAAAGTCAGAAACATGGAACAAAAATAAAAGAGACCCGATTACATAACTCAGAAACTCCACTGCCAAACCTTATTGTATATCTTTCTAGATCTTTTATATGTTTATATATACTATATGTATTCGGGGGGGGCTAATTTTTATTCTATATTTTAAAAGATTTTATTTATTTATTTGTCAGAGAGACACACACAAGCAGGGTGAGTGGCAGGCAAAGGGAGAAGTAGGCTCTCTGCTGAGCAAGGAGCTGGGTGTGGGACTCCATCCCAGGACTCTGGGATCATGACCCGAGCCGAAGGCAGATGCTCAACCGACTGAGCCACCCAGGCGTCCCGGGGTTATTTTTTAAAAAGATAATATTTTAGAGCAGTTTTAGGTTTACAACAAAATTGAAGGAAAATGCAGAGATATCCCATATGCCCTCTAACCCCTCTCATGCACAGCCACTCCATTATCACCTTCACTCAACAGAATGGTACATTTTTGTTTTTTATCAAGGATGAACCTACATTGACACATCAGAATCACCCAAAGTCTATAGTTCATCTTAGAATTCTCTCTTGTTGCTAAACTCTCTATGGGTTTGTACAAAAATATAATGACATACAGTTGACCCTTGAACAACATGGGTTTGAACTGTGTGAGTCCTCTTATACATGAATTTTTTACAGTATGATACTTTAAATGTATTTTCTCTTCCTTATGATTTTCTTTTTTATTTTCTTTTTATTTTTTTAAATATTTTATTTATTTATTTGACAGAGAGAGACACAGTGAGAGAGGGAACACAAGCAGGGGGAGTGGGAGAGGGAGAAGCAGGCTTCCCGCGGAGCGGGGAGCCCGATGCGGGGCTCTATCCCAGGACCCTGGGATCATGACCTGAGCCAAAAGACGCTTAATGACTGAGCCACCCAGCTTACCCCATGATTTTCTTTTTTAAAAAAATTATTTTTAAGTGATCTCTCTACCCAACATGGCGCTCGAACTTACAACCCTGAGATCAAAAGTAGCATGCACCTCTGACTGAGCCAGCCAGAGCCCCACCCCCTTATGATTGTCTATTTAATAACATTTTTTCACTAGCTTACTTTAT